ATTATGCTATCGGCGCCATGTTTCATGGTAGTTTTATTTTCTAGTATATCTATACGCGCGTCTTATCGCAGAGGCCGCGGAATGACTTGATCAATTAGCATTAATTGCACGGTGGAAACCTGTACCTCGCACGTCCTTTGACTTTCTCCTCTCGGACTCTCGTCTATGACGGACAGGAAAACGTGAACAGCCATGCGCGTTAATTATTAATTAATGATCGTTAGAGCCCGCGAGCGTATCATCCAGATGTGCGAACGCGCTCGTGCCTCGAGTAGATGTTTATTGCATACTCACATAAATACACGCGTGTAATTAGCTATGCGTCTATTTGATTATACGAATATTTATAAAATATGTTGCAACATATTTATAACATATATGTAGGTTTACAATATAAAAAATAAACAGGATTGTAGATGTATTAGTCTTAACTTGATCAATCCACTTGATCCATCGTTTAATTTATTTATTGGGAATCATGGATGAACGAATCACTTAGCTATACAGGATAGAAAAATTTTCAAGTTCATTTGAATAAGAAATAGAATTCCGTGACTAGGCACGCGTAAGATGGTTACAGAGATTAGTATTTTCTATAATATTTTATACTATCGCAAGACATAACTAATTGCCGTCATACGCTATTAGCATACTTTAGAAATTTCGAATATGTGTATCAGAATTGTGTTCCCTCCGACCTTTCGTAAAAATTTCTACACTGAATTGTTAACTTTCCTTTTCTAAGTATATATATATCTTCCTTCGTGATCTATCTAGTGATCTCAATATGTTTAGATTGGTGAAATTATCATAAAACCGCTATTATCAAGATTCTTATCTGTCTTAAAATTCTAATTTTGCTTCTAAGTCACGGAATCTCTTCACGTTTTGTCGGCATGATCGGGAAAGTCTAATATTATCGAGGCTATCGTGATCCTGATTCGATCTTCAAGGTCGGATGTCGCCGATTCTAAAGGCGGCTTCGCACAAAGCGGTCTGCTTTGCCCATTCGCCCGACTGTTTCGCCTCTCTCTTTCCCTTCTTCCCTCTCTTTCTCTCTCTCTTCATCACGCTCTTTCTTTCTGGGAATCTCGTTCAAGAGAGGAGATCGGCGCCCGGAGCAGCGTCTACCGTTAGCACGTGTGTCTCGTTATGCCGCGATTCCACGTGCAAATACGACGAAAGCAACTTTCAGCGAGCTTCCGTCCTGCAAAGGAGCACGCAGCCCTTTGTCGTGGTCCAGTTTCTTGCGTCATGTGCAGTGACGTTTAGCCCTAATCAGAGCAGGACTCTCTGGAACCCTGTCGAAATTTCAATATTGCGTAGCTCTTACTTAGATCGTTATCCTTAGATTTCACGTAAATTCAGTGAATTATATGTATTCTGACATCTTTCGAAATAAATTATGCGTTATTTTCGTGAAGTATCTCATCGATCTTTGAAATGAAATTTATATTTAGTGGTTTCCATCGTACAAGACCCCCCCCCCCCCCCCCCTCTCTTCCTAATTATGCAATACAATTTTTGACGTTTTTTTTTTTGGAGAATCATATTAGGCAATACCACTTGAGAGAACATGTGTACAGCTTCAATGATCGGCGGAAATGATTCGTTGATGAGCCTCGAGAGCGAGTCGATTCATTCGCACCTGACGCGGGTGAAAGTATCATTGTCGATCGCGCCGATCCGAATTCACCGATAACGTTCGCACGCTCGAGAATTTTAGCCATTCCGAGTGCATCAAACTCTGGCGGTTTAACGAGTCGATTAACGGACGTAGACACGATCGAAAACTTTTTTGCCTTTTCATTTTTTTCCCTTGATGTAACTCAAGCAAAAAATCCATTTACATTCTTTCGAACCGCTTCTTAAATAGATGTGGACAAATATTACGTGCATAAAATTCTTGACTGACTATCGAACGTATAAATTCAGTTGGATTTGCAAATTTTTTATGCGTACTAAAATACATGTTTAAAATAAATTCGGAGAATGCTTCAAATTTATTTTAAATTATTTTTTAAATTTGAGACGACGCTACGTATTATTTTAAGAGGACGACATATTTTTAAAAACACCTTATAATTATTCGATGATTTTTTTTTGTCAGAATGATATGGACATTAACTGATTAAAATCCGGCGTCTCTCTCGCTTGGACTTCAAGTTATTATTGCTTCTGAACACGATTTTTTGAATTTCTGATTTTACAGTAGGTGAATTTATTTATTTACTTGAATTATTTTTGGAATTATTATGAAGATTAGCTTCATACTAATAAACGTTACAATTAATGATACACATGGCACAGCGCTGTCTCGCGATCAGTCTGGCGAAGACTATACAGGACGCTATATTTCATAGGATATCCTACTTTCTCCAATATGAGTGCATTACTCCTTGATTATGACAGGTCTTCGATGTCTCCGAGCTATAGATAGCCGCTTATTAAATCATTAGTATGCGAACCTTCGAACGGATGTCATGTTGCTATAACGCGCGTCAGGCCACTGTCTTGTTCGTCTGAAGCTTACGTGAAGAATATCTAAACTGTCGCTTTATATATGCGAAGTTGGGTGTCGTGTTCGAGTAATACCGTGTACTTCCTTTGTATCGTGAAGCCCGAGAAATTTAGATGAACGATCTTTTATCCATCTTTCTCTTCTTCCGCCAATTGAAGTAGCAAGTCCCCTCTGTGTGTACGCGAATGTATAATTTTCGCGGTTAGTGACAGTGACCCAGCCGCCACGGCCACTCGCATCTGGCCCCGCTCTTCAAAGACTTTCTCGACGTGGTCGTTAACAGGTACGATCGAATTCTCGTCGATCGATGAACGCTGAAGCGTCTAGCCCCTGGGAGTTGTCCTCGATCTTGCTCAAACATACGGTTGCTCGTACGAGCCATTATTTTTTAGCATGCGTAAAGATGATACGTAATTCATTCCATATTTATTCTCTACTCGATGTATAACTCTAATTTAAACAAAAAGAAAATTAAAGATTCGAGTAAAAGTCCGAATTTTGACGTTATGTAGTCCGCAGAGATTATTTCGGAAACTTTGTACATACCTATAAATATGTATATACTGCAGCTGCAGTATTATGTAAAAATCGAGACTGAATTTCCGAGACTGTCAAGTAATCGCGTCTCCTTAATCAGATTTCGTTCGGTGTAACTTTGTTATCAGTCGAAGTTCTCTCCCTCTCAGGGGACGTTCACCGATTCGGGAAACGCGGAGATTCGGCGAGGATTCTGCACCTACGCATTCGCGTTTTCGTGGTCGTGGGAATGTAATTTTGACGATTCTGCCGGTCGATTGAGGCAGGTCATGACCCGTCGGAAATTATCCCCGGCAACCTCTCGCGAGTGGCGGAACGGGAGCGCCTTTGGGGAGAGCAGTTAACAACGGTCTTTACGACTCACTTTACACGACATCGAGTTCGCTCCTCCACGGCGTCGTTGTAAAGGACACATTGGTCCTCGCTCCATATATTACTCGTCGCGAATGGCTCGGGCGAAGTGTGCCGGTTTGTCGGAAAATGTAGTCACGTCGTGTTGTTACTACGACACCTCTGCCTGTTTTACGTTTCGTCAAAGTACCGTAAACTGTACCCGCCATAGTTACTCGCATATTCATGGCACTCGTACGTATCGATGGGATCATACAAATTATTTAATCCATGTAGTATGTTCACGTCTGTGTCGTTCGATGAATTTTTCTTCAGAGGCCTTCCTATGCGTTGAATAAATATTCGGTATTTTGAAACAATGTTAGATGCTGATACAGATTCGTTACGTGTCAAACGTTTTATATAATACATTTTCGTACACATAATCACTGACAGCACATTGGCAATGGGACAAGAGAAGTTATGAAAAGGATATAAGAACTTGGCAGCATTGATAGTGCTTTTTGGCACACGGCCTCAGTAGACGATTTACAGAGATGTGCAAAATGCTTGAAAGGATGTATATGCATATGACGTAAATACGTCAGATATTTATTTGAATCTTTTCTACATTCACATAAGGATTTATATCATGCAAGGATTACATTACAAATATGGTGAGTATTAATGTATCAAAGATTCTCATATATCTATATCATTATCGAGAACAATAATCAACGTACTTGGCTGACTTTAATATTAATTTCGGTCGTTACACTTTGGATGTAACATTAAACAGTAAATGGGTTACTCGCGATTACCGTAGAAACTAATATTTTATCCCCTTATTATCATGCAGCATGCTTGACCGTAGGACAATATCGCGAGTTTTATTCCGCATCGTGGGGCAGATATTATTTCGCGTGCACGTATTTACACGGTTGTAATTAATGTCGAGCCCATCATTCTGGCCATTGATCGCGTCGACCAACTGCACTCTGGATACCCAATTAGACGAATTAATCACATTTCTGCAATCGCGTAGCTATGTTGCAGCTTTTAAACAATGGGGAACATGCTACCTACCGTTCACGAACACAAACGCATGTACCGATCGTGTTTATTTCGTTCCACGGAGATAAAGCAAAAAACTCCCCGATGAATAACGCGCGCGCTTTTTAATGCCAAGTACGTAAGATTTATTTGTCTTTCGAAATAAAAGTGTCACGATTCTCTCCGCGGCACAAAAACGTCCCATCCCTCCATAAATCGAATTTTGCGTTCTGTTCGTCAAATCGGTAATGTCGAAATCAATTTAACAGATGTAGTACAACAATAGACTCTGCAATACGTTTTTACACAGATAATTTGTCAGAAATAGAAAAATCGATTTAAAAAAAATACAATATAAATATCACGAAATGATAAAGATCGTAGAACTTTGATAGTATATTATTTTTATCACGATAGTCCATATCAATATAGAACAAAACGCAAACGATGATCGATACTTGGACCCCTGTGTTTGATTCAAAGTGGCCGTTGAACAGGACAGAAAGCCGCGTGATGTGATTATCCAGCGGTTAATTCAATTCGCTTCTCGCTGTTTCAGATGATGCCGAAGAGATTGACCGAGCTATCCAGGTGGCTGTTGCTGGCGGGGCTTTTGTGCTGCGCATCCTGCCAGAGCGTACCGTCCTCCTTCGAGAATAAAACTGGTAGGTTTCGACCGTGTATTTTGTTTTTCTGTCCTAAACATGCGACGTAACCAGTATGTGCCCTGCAGAATATTTTCCGTCGAACAAATGAGGGCTCGAGGAAACAGCGAGTCCGTCCGTGTTTACTATTGTAAGATCTCTCTCGTCGCACTGTCATTATTTTTGTACGGTCTTGTGAAAAGTTCATTCGTGCGGAATTCGACCCTCGCGCCTCGGTAAAAGATTCACCACTTTGTTTAAATAAAATGTTGATGTAAGAAAAAACATATGGTATTATACTACGACATAGCGTTTCTATAAAATATTGAAGCTCTAAATATACGACGATAAATATAAAATAATTTTTATTATGAAGCGTGCGTAATAAGCAACATAGTCATCAAAGGGATGGTACCAGTTCATTATAACTTGAGATAAACTATTTTTAATCATCAAAGAAAATAAATAAGATCTACGAGGCAGCCACGATCTTAAAACATACAAGTGACATATATTTAAAATTTTAAAAGCATGATATAATACACGATATTGCATACGAGTCTTTATTAATTCCTTATTTATAATTGCACTTGATTATCGTTGCATCTTCCTTTCCGATTCGGATTCGCTATTCTGTTGCACGACAAATCTTATCCGTTGGATCATGTTTGAACTGCAAAAAGTGCTCTGCGGATACTTCGATCGTCGTATTGCGGGCACGGAAGCTGCGGGAAAAAGGACCCGAGCTGGCACGTCGAAGAACGCGACTTCACGTCGCGACGTCGCGACGCTGCCGTCGCGTCCAACGTCCCGCTGGGAATCCGATTTCGTACTTTTTGAACTGGAAATTGGATTTTGCAATTTCCAGAGCGGTGACCAGCGAGTAGTAATTCGGCAAAACCCGTTAATTGAAGATACATGCATTATCGTGTCCGGTTCAGTTGACCACTTTACGCTCTATTTAAAAAGAATAATACAGATTTGGACAGACTTGTTAGAAAATACTTATTCGCGGAAAATCTTTTGCTAAAAGTGGCGTAAACACTTTTATTTTCGAGTTCTTTACATCTGCGCGACAGTGACCTGTTCCATCTTTATCCAGCCCTGACGCATTGCGGTAAAATGAAGAAATAAAGAAACAAAGGGAAGAAATACACAAATCGATGAGTACGAGACGGAAATGTCACAGTTTGATGGCAAAAATTTTATTTAACTCATTTATTTATAAACTTGATTAGTGAATTTATTTAATATAAACAGAGACAAAGAAAATTCTAATGATTAATGAAATAAAGCATATCAATTCGGCACATCCGTCCACTTTCGCTCGAACAAGCTGCCAAACATTACTATTAATCTCAGTATAAATCTTGATCAAAATTAGCTGCACGTCATGCGTACGCGTCATTGCACACGCGTGTGCGTCTCCACGCACGTATCAGTGGGGCGGGTCAGTGGGTCATTCTACTCGGTGCTAAAAGACATGCACGCACACACGCGCACGGCTGAATGTGTCTTCGATTAATTCGTGTAACGCGTCACATATGATTTCCGATCGACAATTGTCATCAATTTTTTGTCGACAGTTTTTGTCTGGCGTTTAATGTGATGTTTATAGTAAAAGGGAGTAATATAATTAATGATTAAATTTCCACACATGACTATTAACGCAATAACACCATATTTTTTACGCTGAAAGTCTATATGAATAATTTACATATTTTGAAATGAAAATTATTTAAGTAAACCAATCCAAATGTCATTATATTGTAATTTAATCGACATTATTTTTATTCATTTATTTAGTTAATCCTGAAAGAGAGTCTATTCATGATTCTAAACCTTCGTAAGATTTTTCTGAAAACGTGAACTTTTAGACTTATATCCTTCTCAAAGTTACAGGTATATTCATCATTTTAACACATTTTAATTTATGAAGTTCCTTATTTGCATAATAGTGCCGGGATAATTGAATTGCCAGGGCTCGCAGAAAACGCGACGTCCAATTGCGATCGCTGAAAGTTTTCGTGCGAGACCCCCCGCGTGAATTGTAATTTTTAATTCGCTCCACGTCGGGGTAACGCGTCGGGAAACGGCGTCCTAGGCGGATTTCTCGCCTCGGCGTCCCTCGTCGAGCGTTGTTCTACTTTCAAACAACAACGTCTGACACAAAAGTACGAGAAAATAAGCGCGACGCGCGCGCTTTTATCGCGCGCGCTCACAATAGCCAACTTTGCATTTACGTCCCTCTTAACCTTTGCACTTCTCCGTCGAATGCGGCTGCGAGTAACTTGTCGACCCAACATCCTCTTTCGCACATCGCGGGACTCGCTGATCCGCGAGAAAAATCCGCGAAGAACATGATTAATTCCGTGACTGCGCTTTTTCGCAGTGCAAACATATACAGCGCCCGTCACATTGTTCGTAAAATCGATATTCGCTCATTTCTCTAAGCGATATTTTGCTTGAAATACAGAAATATTTTTCGAATTGTCGAAAAATTATATAAAATATGAAAGCACGATGAACGAGCGGGATTGATAACGAAGTAGAAAATTGCGCAGATATGCACGAATGTTATGTTGATTGCCAGTTCAAAAATTTAAACGATTAATAGCTGTATGCTGCCCAATGAGAAAAAACTGTACAATTTATCACGTTCAACTTTTATAAGAGGAGAGAATGATATTCGAATCCCTGCTCTCATCAATATAAATTTAGCGAAATTATCGGCTTCCAATTTTCCAGGGGATATTTCCGTCAGTTTTGCTAAAAGTTCCAATAATATCTACTACAACTGAAAGTACATCACCTGAAGGTATTGCGGCGGGGACATAAATTTGCGCGAAATAGGAGAAGTGTAATATATGCTCAAATATGCGTGCGGGGCATATTGGCGAGACGGGGAAATTAAAAGGGAGAAGATACGACTGCACATTTTATACACTCGATTTCATTCGGCATTGTACTATTTCCCAGCGACAAAAGCGGCACGGGAATGCGGGAATATGTGTCGCATAAGCGTAATGCGTACAAACGAGCGGGAAAATAATCCCACGCGCGCGCATACAGGCAAAAATATAATAACGCTTTCGGTGGCTTTATGCATTTGCATCGCAGCTATGTTATGCTTCTCACGCTTTGTTCGGGTTACGGAGAGATTTTACCGCTCCTTTTTTTTGCATTGTACTTGAACGTTGCGAGATTACATGCAGTTATGTACAAACATAGAAATTTGTTAACAATAAAATATATAAATTGTATACCTGCTCTTTGAATCTTAGTTAACTTCAAAAGTGAGATAAGTTTTTAATTATCACGCAGATATATCGCTTAACATTTTGAGCATTTTTAAATAATGCATTGTACATTACAATATAATATAAAGCTTAATAGTATTAACATGAGCGTTATACACGAGATGAGATTTCAAGTTTTGTTCTCGATTTATCGATTACATCGCCATGTACTTGGGTCGCTTTGTTATCCGCGTTACATCGCCGTTTTACATCTCACACCGGAATCTCCCGAACTGGAGTGATCATTTGCATAATAGGAAGAAACAGCAGCTTCATAACAATCGCCACATTTTATCTCGTCGGCTCGCTCGCCCGGCTCACATTCACGTCTGTCTCAATTGAAGCTGAGAGATATAGCCCGCGCGTTTCTTCAGTTCCCGCGCACGTCACTTCATTTTCAAACAATGACGCGTGGAGCTCGGCATAAAACTGAACGAGAGAATAAACGCGTCGCTTTTAGCATCTGCATCCACATCGCTGAACTTTTCTTTTTGCGTCCGCTGCGCGCTCTCACCACCTGCATTCTTCAGTAGTTTCATAAAAGCGAGCTTTTTGGTCAAAGTTACACCGAATGCACTCGCCTGTGCCGTCTCTTTTTTGGCTAAAAATTTTAGGACACGCGACAATGTATGCTTTCGCGGTGATTAAAGGAACTTGGAAACTCCTTGATAAAAAATGTCGGCCCGAAAACCACTCGATACAGAAACAGAAATGTGAGCCATGGCACTGTAGCGGGAATACGGGCGCAAGACAAATGTCCATTTCTATGATTCACAGCGTCCCCGACGATGCGTGCGTTTCCGGCGAGCAACGGTTCGCGAACCACGACAATAAATCCAGAAAGAAAACTCGCCACGAGTCCATTACCGCGCCGCGACTCGCAAGTCTCTTAACCTTAATGAATCTTCGCTCGGTTGTCAACCGGTAGTGCATTTCTCTTAAAATAGTTCCTTACAGCGCTACGCTTGGACGCCGGTGAACCCCGAGGCGGGTGTCTTTCGCTTTTCAACAAGACGTCAGGCGCGTAAGGCTCAAAGCGGAAGATTGTTGAAGGATAGTTACACATGTGAGCGCTTTCGTATGACTTTTTAATTATAAAACTGGATCCAGACCAAGCAAACAAACGTGAATAAACCACACGATTTGCCTCAATGAGTATGAACGGCGTCACGAATACCAGTGGCGCCTTTCGCATTTATTGAAGCAAGTGTTCGTTCGTTCTCGTTTGCTTGATCTGGATTCGGATTAATGAAATGCCCACACTTCATCTTCAAGGTAACTTGAGCATTTAAATATTTTACGATATTTAAATATTTTTAAATGTTGCTAATGTTACAAACGTAGATCTTACTTAAAAATACATTGATATGAATTAATTGCGCGACCGCGACCGCGACCGTCGAAGCAATATTCGTGAAAAATAGTCGCGGAATTCTGATACTTTTAGAAAAAGATTTAATATAGAAGATTGATTTGACATTTATATATGCATTCATTCGTACATATATGTACCGGTGATGGATTTCGGATGAAATTTGCGAAGGGCGAAGATTTAAATCCCGGATCCGGATGCGCCCGATTCGAACGCTCACTTCTCTGTGCAGGGACTCGAACGAAATCTCCTAGCATATAATATTCCCCGAGAAATTACTTAGGCGTCACCTGTCCCCTCGTTTGAAATATGCTCGCGCAAAACTGCAGAGGTCGCGGATCCGACCGTGCATTATGCAGACAGGTAACACGGGAGGAAGAGACGGCGCGGCGGCGAGCGCACGAGCCAGAAGAGCTCTGACCATCCCGTATCCCGTGTCGTGAGCGTATATTCGCGGAGCATGACACGTGTATTTATGCGACATGACTGGGGAATACTGGCGCCTGCCGGCTGCCGTGCAGCCGCGGGACATTCCGACACAGCGCCAGCGTCTCGCATTTTCGTCCTGACGACGTAATGCTCGTTCGTACGTCGTAATGAGGCACCGCAAGGAAAATGACGGGCAACGACGTTCCTCGAACATCCGTGCACTGCATGCGACTCTAACGAATGTTATTGAGAGAAAGATTGTTACTTTTATACTTAATATCTTTTTTCTTTAGTTTATTGCTAAATTTTGTTTAGACGACCGACATTAAGCGAAATAAAAATATATTTTTTAAATCTTTTTATCTCACTTTTTCCTATAAAAACTTAGGATTTCTGTATTTTGTAAATTTGTGGACAAATTGTTGTTTTATTTTAATCTAACTCTCATCTGCGTACTTGAATCGCACGGGGTATTAGCGTTATTAGCGTTAGTTCCTGAAAGACATGCTTGAAAAATTTTATTCCCGTTTGAAATGTTGTCACGGGTGAACATCCGTCTCGATTACGACGGCGAGATTTCTCTCGGCTCTCGGAGCTCTCCGGCACTCGAGATGTCAGCGGTACTTCCGTCAGCGCGGCGCGCGTATATGGCGCATTATGCATCGCCGCGCGCATAGCTGACTGCACCTGCGGCCTGCGCGAGCGGCTTTAATGCCCGACGTCTACCGCGTTTACGGCGCCGACCGTAGAGATAGAAACGTCGATTGCCTCGATAATGCCGGAGAAAACGTGTACTCTCGACTAGCCATTATCGGGACGTTTTCTCGCGAGATATTGGGCGTACATGCGAGCACACGGTGAGCGCGTGTGAGCGGCGACATCCGCGCATATGTTGTCTTCCTCGGTGTCCACGTGTACGGGGTCTCGCGTGAAACCTTACCGTCGTACGTACCTACGCGAGCAACATTCGACAGCGTTCGTGGCCAATTACGGTAACGTTACGCGTCGAAGTCCTGACTGGGAATTAAATGAAAACCTTGTCATTATTCTTTTTACAACTCGGCCCACTTGCGAATGCTAACCGCTGTACGTTCGTACGTGCTATCGAGATGATCGCATGTTTCTCGAGCCGTTGGAAAACTTTATAAAATTAATCGCTGGCAGGATTCCCGGGGAACTTTCCGCGAAGGTGCCTGCCTTCCGGCCTTCCAGGGAATTATCCATCCTAATTGCCGTGCCTATTCTCATAAATCGCGAAGGGATTGTTACCGCTTGACGAACGGTCGCTGAGGATAGCAATCATCGCTCGACGATAACTGATCGTTATGGGTATACTATATACCGCGGTCGGCTGATATCTGCCTCGCTTAAACGCGAGTGTCCGTCAACACTCGGGCATGCGAAGCGAAGGCGCCCCATACGTCACCCTTCGACGTTGAAAAGATGCGCTCCTCCTCCTCTCGGCGAGACTTCGTTAAGGTACTCTCTTTCTTTACTCCGCGAAGACGGGCCTTCATCGTTTTCGCGGGGATGGGTTCGTGCCCGCTGGAAGACCTCAGATACGACGCGACGTGAATTGCAACTTCGTAACAGGATCCTCCGTGACGTACAGGAAAGCGGATGTATACGGGGGGATGGACTACTTAATGTTATCATCCTGGGTGGCTTACGCGTTCGTTCGCATCGCGCTCGGAAACAAAAGTGGCATTGTCTGTCAGGTGGAAGATTTTTGCCGTATCGGATGGAACGTTTACACGAGAGCACTTAATTCTCTTTCTTTGCGTGGATATATGGAAAAGAGAAATACGTAAAAGTATTTCTGCAATGTCATTTCCTCTCTCAACTATAATAATAGTCAAGTCTAACACCTGTGATTTTATCTATTTGTAATATTCGCTGAAGAGTTACTTAAAACATCTTACAATATTTTTTTGCGTGACATACATTATCATTCTAATGTTCGACAATTTAATGCCGAACGTTTCCAAGGAACAGGTAATTTGAGATAACAGATTAAAGTCGTCGTCTATAAATTTTATTGTAGATTCCCTCGGAGTATTGCCGCGTGATGAGGGGCTATACCTGAGATATCGAATGGTCCGCGCCATGTATACGACGTCGTCTAGCTTGACGATGATGTTAAACGAAAGTGCGGGCGCGTAGAGACGACGCTCGCTGTTGTGCGCTGGTATCACGTATTCTAAAAACGTATAAATTTATACGACACAACTATCCGCGCGCGCGGATATATTGTATCTCATCGAGCCGGCCGTGGTCGTCCTCTCACTCGCATGTGCACCTAGTGTCCCATAAATTTATGCAGCCTAGAGGATCGTGACGTTAGCAGTGCCGGTAGGATAAATCAATCGGGCGAGAGCGCCGTGCGAGAGAACGCGCACGCTCGAGAGAGGGTTATAATAAAATTAAGAACAATTAATCACGACGACGGGGCTCATTACTCAAGGTATCAAATTCTCGTTTATACGCGCCGATTCAAGTATAATTGGCTACTCTCTCTTTATCGCCGGTCTCCTCTCTTATGCCTTTCGCGCGTCACAGTGAGACGAAGGTTTCTGCCATTGATCCGCGATGTGTTCCGTCGGCTTTAATCGGTCACGATGACCCTCGAAATTTCTGTTCGCAGGCGGCCAGAATGACAGCCGGCCGCGGATATTCTCCCCTAGGATGGACTATGACGAATGGACACCGTTGGGACGCGGCGACCCTCTGAAGAATAATCCGACTTTCGACTACGTACCACCGGTTCTCGACAGGGTACAATACTGGTTGGACTCGCAGCAGCACACAACGGAGCCGTCGTCGAAGCGCGATATCCTTGTGCTGGGTGTGACCGCGAAGAAGACCAGCCCGAAGATACCTGAGCAGTTTCTCAAATTTGTGGACGGTCCTAAATTCACGCGGACTGGTAATCAGGATTCGATCTTGTATAGGAACGACTTCACCGGCAGCAACGGCGCTGAACCGCCCAAGATCGTGCGCACCACTAGTTTCCGAAACGGCTTGATCGACTACAGAAATCAAAATAGACTACAGTCGTTGCCGGCCAATTACTATCCGAATTCGTATTACAGTCAAAAGATAAAGCCGTACACTATGATGATGCCGCCACCAATGATTCAGAAAGCCGAGACGTCTACCAATTTTAACGTCGGCGTGTCCAAGGACAAGATAATTGGTTACCCGGATACATCATCATCGTTTAGCACGCAGACGGAGGAAGGCCCCGTCCTCCAAGATACTCAGTATTACGGAACGCCCTCCAAAGATTATGGACGCTACTCCCCCGCGTCTTCGTTAAGACCGTACTCCACTTCGAAGGCGCCATTGAGTAAGATCGAGACCATCAAGAGCATCTACGTACCGTCCGCGTCGCAGAGCACAAAGTCGAGATACGAAGCGACCACCGCGCCGTCCGTCTCCTTCGAGAAGTCAAATCTAATATATCAATCGACGCAAACTCTGTCTGGTGGATGGCTCGGCAACAATGGACCTTCTTCATCCTCCACGGTATATCCTCTCGATGTCAATCAAGTCACGTGGCAGACCTCGGATTACTCCAGAGATCACTATGAGATCGATCATAACGCCGCGGCCTCATCCAATCACGAGGTCGTCGTTGGCCAGAACGCGAACATTATTGTGGACGCCAATAAAAACGAAAATGAGGAAATTGTCGTAGGTCAGAAGGAGATCAGCACCGAAGCGACGTTTTCGACGACGGAGAGCGTCGCACAAACTTCCACCGCCTCCACCACGACTACGGATTCAACCGAGCAGGAAGAAGAAACCGTGACCGATGCGCAATCCTCGCAAAAGATGCACATTGTTGTCGCCAATTCGCCTTCCAGCATCATGGATCTGCAGACACACAAAGCAAAGAAGGGCCCGGTCGCCGTAGTAATGCCGACGAATTATATTGAGAAGAATTTCTCTGCAAGTTCTTCAGATCCACTTACGACGACGCACAACAATGCTTGGGAGAATCCCACCACGTCCGAAATGACAAAGACGACTCACCAAGCGTCGAAGTCTCAGTCGCAGCCGGTAAGAAACGCGATAACGAGCTCGCCAATTTTGTCGGAGGACCATCCGTCCGCTTCCTCCGCGCCGAACAGGATGATAGCGCCCTCACAGTTTGCCCATCAGCCTTCACATCCACCATCCGCTCCGATAATGCCCCCCAGACACATAGATAGCTCTTCGCACATGTTTGTTCCTCCACAGGCGGCCTCTCAATCCATGATGCGTCCTCAGGCCAGACCGAACACCATGATACACTTTATTGGCAGCATGCGTCCCGGTTTTCGGCCATCCTCGCCGGTATCGATGTCTCATGTGTCGCCGCCCATGGCGCACATGCACGCGCCCTCCATAAACAATATGATGATACCATTGCCAAACGTGGAACAAGCTCATCAACGACTATCTCAACCGTTCCCCGTGACATTCACCAGTCCACCATCGCCGTCGACTTTCAGCACGCAGATTCCCGGATCAGACGAACAATCGATCGATCATCGGCCGTCTCGATTACCCGCGACAACCGTGACCACCTCGCCGTTGTTCACATCGACGATCTCTACTATGGAGTACACGCCTACCATGGACTATCACGAGAGCACAAAGCCCGATCAGTCGCCTCTGGTGAAGATTCTCAATGCGGAAACTCCAAAAATGAAGCCAATGCTTGCGCCGTCGTCGACGGTTCCACCACGAACCACGACCGTCCCGAGTCTAACCACCGATCCGATTTTTTCCCATTACAAGCAACCAGCCAAGCCACTCCGCGGCCCGATGTACCTCATCATTCAGGGTCACTCGAAGGTAAAGACTTATAAACCCACGGTGAACAAATATGGGATGCCTGTGGAGAACAACGAGATCGTGGAGAGCGCGACCGAACGGCAACTGTCCAAGTTGGAACAGCTGATTCAGAAAAATACAAAGAATGGCGCCGTTGATCTGGCCGCCGAGAAAAGAAAGGTGGAAGAGAAGGCGCGCGCCGAAAAGCACGTATCTTCGAGCCAAGAGAGTCTCATGAGCCTGATCGAGAGTGGCTTGAGCGGCTTCACAGTGTCACCATCAACGGAAGCGGAGGACGAGCATCGCGTGTCCAACTCGGTTACGAGCATCGAGATCAATTAAAGATCCGTTGTTTGCGACAGTTCTCCAGGAGGAACAAACTCGACAGGCGGATGCTGGAAGCTGGGGACATCCGCACATGGGAGTCCTCGTTGCGCGTTGGCAAAAAGGCAACCGCCATTCTCAGTAGGAATGAAATTTTCTTAGGAACGAGGTCGATTTATTCGTTGCTTACACGCGGTTCATACCGTAAGTCGTTGGGTGAAAATCGATGGCCGAATGTCGTCGGACGCGCATGAGATGGGAACTCGAGAGGTTTCATATGGCAGACCCTCGCAGCATAGGAGCTACCTGGGAGATATGTATAACTACAACACGCTGACAAATGAGATGTCGAAAATTTACGTTATTCATTTTATTTGTCGTTCCGTGATATTGAGTGCCTCTATATATTCTTTAATACCAGACAGTCTGAACGAATTTATGTATTTATAGATGTGCAGATAACGATTGAGTTATGGTACCCGGAGACGAAGTCTACGGTAAGCGGATATACGAATGTATGTTTATCATATTGATTATTTATTCAAATCATCGAAATAATTCGATGTTTGGTCACGCCCATCACATGTAATTATTATTGTTATATATATATATAATTGTTATATTTTAATGCATACGTCATGATCATGCATAATTTAATTCTCAGATTTAATTAATTTAATTAATTATTTATTTTGTTTTATATATAGGTTATTCTCTATTTTATTTTATTACACGCGCGTTGTGAAGGTGCACAAAATCTTGTGTTACAACTGTAATTCGGTTTGCATTGAAACTATAATCGTGCAACAATCGAAATCTGAAGCAATTAGCGACGCAATTAATGATATCTTCTTTTTCACTTTCGCATCAATGACTCATCGTGTGCGCTGTACAGGATAGCGAATACGTGAGCATGTTCCACGTGCCGAGATTTTTCGAATAATTTGCATATGATTTTTGTCTGGAGAAAAGATCATCCTCGGATCTCTCGCAAAATCACGCTACGCGGGTCGCAATTTCGTAGGCCACCTCATAGTTTCTCGCCGTTATATGGAAAAATTGATCGTCGTTCGTTTTTATTGCGTTTGCTCGAGATCGATTGTCATTCGCAGTGATAACAAACTCTCGCTGTTATCACTAGATAACAGAGGCTCAACCAGTTCTCTTCATGTCCTGCCACGCTTTCGTCCACGATAAGAAAAGCGCGCCAATTTCATATGTGCCAGTATACATAATTACATGACATATATATATATATATATATATATATATATGTAAAAGCGTAATTACATATATATATACATACATACACACGTGTTACACGCGTTACACGCGGAATAAGCGATCGTTCAACGATTCCGATCGCGCATTCGACCCGCTTGCGTCCTCAACGACAGTTATCGCGATCGCGAATGCAGCGAGTGTACGAATTGGAATTCGCGTTTCACTCGCTGTTTTATAGCGTCACTCGATTCGCGTGCGCGCTTTCTTCCGCAATCTAAATATCGGACGAACTCGTTTTACGATTATCACGGTGCGATATCATTGCGGAACTCTGCCTACATAGCTATCAATGAGGACGTAAGACCGCATCTCAGATCGACTCTGGACCGGTCTGCGCGATTTAATTGCGCCGCAAACGTGAAGCTTATGATCGTGTGCTATATGCGTACAATAATATTATTTATCGTACAACGTAGTTGAAACAAAAGAAATACAGGATGTCTCAGAAGCAGCGGATCTCTTGGACTAGATTGACATTCCTTTCATTGTAATTTTATATTCTTTTATTGTAAATTCCCAAAATTTAATAACATTAAAATAATGGCTGAAAGTTAATTATGTAAAATCTTTCGTTGATCATCAATGTCTCGATATTGGAGCAGATACTTTATCTGTCTCTTGCGAGAGAAAGCCGCAGCTTCCAAGACATCTTGTACGCGTATGACGTCGATGTAATTTATAGATTCGTGGATGTTAAGAATAGGTTTCTCTTTAGTATATCATATTTATTGCGCTAGATACAGAAATCGAAGGTGGAAAGTCGTAATCGGTCGCTCCAACATATTCAATCTGTGTCGCAAACGCATTTTATTTTAGGTCGATGCTTTAATATCAAAACTTTTCGTCCTCAATTTCGTTTATTCACTACGATCTACTTATTTATCGCACAAACGCCCGACAGAATTTACCCATTTGTCGTAGACAATTGCGGATCGCCGGCAGCAAAATTTCTCGATTCTCGTCGTTCTCACATAGATATCATCGTCCTTTCCTGCACCGTTAAAATCTCTATTCATCTCCCCCTCCTCCCCCAGATAAATTTCCCGTCGAACAATGAATTACGCGAAGCACAAAAACAGTCGGACTCTTGGCTGTATAAACGAGAATGGCGACGACTTCTCTTCGTTTTCCCGTGTCTACGGGCTCGAAAAGGATTCCAACGGCCTTCGATTCGAGGTTTCCGCAATGCTCCGTAAAACACCCTACAACTTTAGGCGCTACGACGAAACTTACATTAACACTAGTCTTACACTCTACCAGTTACCAAACATATCGCGTATGTACTAACAGCTCACAGATTAGGTATATCACGACCCTCTTGCTCGTAGCGATCGTAATTAGGCGTAGTCGAAGTTACGCGCACTCACACGCAATATATATAATACTCACGCACATACACATGATATATAGGTATATGCATATATATACATATTACACGTATACGGTGTATTTATTTATATAAAAATAAATTATATATGTATATTTTCGCGGCGATGTGAGCGCGCCCGCGCGACATCGCGATCACCCTTACGCATTCAGCGTTACGTTCGCACGCGGGCACGGCGTGCATTAAGTTTACGTACGATAAATTGTACCTGACGGTCACGCACGCGTTCTGTTGATTCTTCTGTTTTATTAATAAAGCATCTTATTATCGATCCAAGGATTCTTTCGTATCCGCCGTATCCCACATACCGTCGCTGTTCTACTAAGCACGGAGGAAACTGGACTGCAACTTGAAGGAAAGGGAATCGATCGCGGCATTCAATTATATCCAATAGTGCGATCGTCTCAAAACTGTTGCAGTTGTCTCCTCCGGTTTAATGTATGTATGTATGTGTGTGCGTTTGTGTATACACGCCGCCGCGTTGCACGCAGCAGTCATAAATTACATTGGGATTTCAACGTATAACGGGATACGGATCTGTCAAAAAGATTCGGCATAGACCAACACGGGACGCATCCAAAACCGACTGTGACGACGGATGAAGTTGTATCGATAACGATCTTACGGTACAACGAGGGGTCATAAATTTCGGTATAGGCAGACGAGTGCATCGAGACTGCTCATTAAAAGCGCTATTAAAATTGGTCGTTAAAATCGTAACAAATCAATTCTTTGCAATATTCTCGTGCAGATGAGACGTCAGAAAGTGCATCGCATCGAAAATTTTGTTTTGATTTATTCCGTACAAAAAACGTCGAGACTAAGAGAATGCAATTGTTAATAATTATAATTTTAAAAATAATAATTTTTTATGAGCAATAGAAGAAAGGTAGAGAGAGAGAGAAAGAGAGAGAGAACAAAAGATATAATACTTGTTGTGTTTAATTTAATAACTTCGTGAGTGCTCACGAAATATCACGGAAAACGTGATATTTAGATCGTCATGTAAATATAATTGGCGATTGAATGGTATCAGCAATTAATGGAATGTTTTTTACGTGATAAAGCACGCGCGATGCAACCCATATAAACTCGCGTCGCTCGTTTATCTCGATTATCCTTAATTGAAGCGGTCAAACTGGTACACGAGAATGACAAATTTCCCGAGCGCGGATTGATTGCGTTTGCAGTTTCGCGTGGTATTTGTGATTCCGTAAATTTTGCTATTATTAGCTCCCACTGGGTCTGATTTATGAGATCGGCTGCTCACTCAATAGCGCCACTTAACGCAAATTTGATACGAAAGCGCGAATACTCCTTTTAATACGAAATATTTTTCCGGAGTATGCGATAAATTGGCTGAATAAATTTTGCAATTTATTTTAAACATGATTTAACTTGATTGTAAACTATAACATTCTGTCACACTGAACTGCACACGTTACAGTATAGAGTAAATATTATCTTTTTATCTTATTCACCAGAGTATAACATTATACAATATGTACTTTAATATCATATTCAGGAGAAATTAATTGGAATCGAGAATTTTAATATAAAAATATTGAAGTCAGAATGTAATTTCCAGGCTATAAGCAATTAAAATTAGCTAATACATATGTATATATTGAGCGAATCATAGAGCGATTATATTTTTGTCGCAAAATCGCGTGCAATCATAATTAATTGTTTTTGCGAGTATGCATTGCGTGTGTGCATGTAAGTGTACAACGAAGAGCTTGAAAGGAAGCGTGCTCGGAAGGCATCGAAGCAACCATAAGGTAATTTATAATTCACTTTTTATTATGTAGATACAGACATTATGTAATTCTTTTGCCAAATATTTATCATAAGTTTTTTTATGAATTCACAATTTTGAAAATGACAATTATACACGGAAAAAAAATAATGTTGTATCAAAAGCATCAGTGTTATTAAGATAAAATTTATTGATGCAACATCAATATTAATAAGCAAAAAACATCAGATAATTGTTTTAATAATTTAAATATTTGGTCCAATAATATCCAATTGAATTTATGCTTGTGGCAGCCCGTGACGTCGACGTTTAATTGAAGCAACTACATTTTTTCCGTGTAATTAATGAAGATTAATGAATATTGCAATCGCGGTCAATAGATCGTTAATGCAATCCTAAAACTACATTTTATTGTTTGCTGTTGTTTAATTACGTATTCGTGAAACGAAGAGGTTACAAAGAAAATCAGAACTGTCGTTGAGGCCGATGATAAATGGGCCTTTGCCTGGGTAAATGAGACCTTGGGGACGAGTAAGTCGGGGTGCATCGAAAGCACAAATTTAAAGTTAATTTATAGCGTAATTTAGTTTCAATGTCAGTAGTATAAATCTTTCGTGGAAGACAAGGGCCCTGGGCCCGAAGACCGCGCGACATGTTTGCTTCGGGTGGGAGAAAAAAGTCGGCGAGATAAAGCAAGGCGAGGGTCGATAAATTCACTTTTTTATTGTCAAAGTTTCGAAACGAGGAAATTCAGATTGATTGAAATCGCTCTTTTATCGATAATGAAGTTCTCATCTCTTATTGTGCCTTCCTGTCGATTTTTTATCTTCTAAATTACGATTACTGCACGCAATATTGTTAGTTTATATCTATTTTTTCTTATGATTAATTATAATTATATTAATTATGATATGATTGAGATTGTTTTATATTTATCTAGAAGGAAAAATATGAACTGATTTAAATTTTATATACTGCACTTTAACGAACGAAAAAAACTGTTATATAATATCACTTCCACCGTGATTTATTGGAGAAAATCTATACATATATACGATAACAATTGATATGTTATAATCCCAAGAGAAAACGAAATATAATATAAACTATCGCATATATAAATTATCTGAAATACGAGTCTCGAGAAAAATGATACTGATATTTCATTTTTTAATAAAAATCTGTCCTTTGCATTTTATATTAAGCAGATTATACCAAATAATTATTTTGC